TGCATATGACTTGGTGATTCTGCTGCAAAGAATTCAAACACATGCATGCCAACTATACTTGTTACCTTGTGGTGAGTTATTTGCCAAAAGGGAAATCACCCCTTTTCCCATGCGCTGCTTGGGGAATCCAAGCATGGGTTAACTTTGTCCATTAGCCTAACCTAGAGACTGAGTTACGTAATTGTTGACCATGCCTCCTCTGACTGGATGGGTCAGTTTTTTAACTCAGTCCAGCCTGAAGAGACGTATATCAATTTTCTCTAGACTAATTGACAAAATTCTCATCTATTTTCTGGTTTCATCGATCGTTAGCAACGGATTGGACACATTATTACGAGGCAGAAGGGAGAGGCAGCAGTTTGCTGTTAGCCCAGACCCCTTTTGCCGTTGGTGATATTCTTCGGGATTCGGGGGCTACGAGGTCCTCCGGCGCCATTGCACACTAAGAGCAGCAGCTGCGGTGATTAGTTTGGGATCGGTTTGCCGTTCCCTCCCCTTCCTGCTTCTGACTGTGCGCTCCTTGGGCCGATTTACCGCCCCGTGCCGCTTTGCCTTAGGAGCGACCCGCCCTGCGCGGTGCGGTCTATCTCCTGGTGATTTAATTGCTTACTGCTCGCCCGCCAGAGGTGCCGCTGATTCCCACCAAGGCACTCGCGGTGCCGGAGAGCTCTGGGGCAGTGCCGTCAGTAGCTTGGCATGCCATAATTGCGGTCACCATTTTGGGCCGTTTCTTTGCGCGCGCCCAGGAGCGACCGGAAGGGGTGTGTTGAGCATTTTTGCGCCCAAGTAAGGACGCTGCGTCAATGGCTCCTCCTATTTCCCTCACGTTTGGCTTGGCTAGCTTAGTGAGGAGGTCGGTCCAGCGCAGCTCTTCTCGCTCCACGGGGTGTTTTTTTGAGGCGGTGCGATTTCATTGGTGCTTTAAACACCTTTGAGGCAGTAAGATTGAGCCCTTTCAAATCGTTTCACTCATAATGGCTGATCAGTCCATCTCTGGAGATACTGTGGAGCCTGTAACCGATCCCTAGCCCTTTGTTCAGGCAGCTCCGGATAAAGCCCATAAGCGAAAGATAAATCCAAGAAAGGGGCTAAGGCCCCGGGGGGGGGGGGGGCTGGAATTTCACCTCTGGTGCTAATCCCGCAATGGATTTCTCGCGTGCGCCCTACAGAGCACCAAGGTTGGTCCCCTGATATTCCATTGCCCCAGGCATCTACTTCTGAGGAGGGGGTATTGGGGCCCCAATCCCCCCCGGTTCTGTCAGAAGCGAGCGTAGCCTCGGCCCACACAATCACACATGCAGGGCCCTCTGCTACATTTACTCCTACTGCTGCAGGCCTCAGGCCCGTGGAAGGCCAAGATCTGGGCCTTCCCCCAGATCTCTACCAGATGATCTCTGCAGCTATTTCCAGGGGCGTGGATGCAGAGTTGCATCACAGAGCCCAGGCTCCCAGGACCACTGGTCCCCAGAATTGTCCTAATCCCCAGGCCATGCAGGTGGATTTGCCAGATCCTCAGACAGACCCACCTTCACCTCTCCCCTCAGTCTATAGTGAGGATTCGGCCTTAGTGGAGGAAGGTGAGGTAGTAGACATGGATTTCTCTGATGATGAAGGGTTGGCTCAGGACTAGCCTAATTCTTCTGGATTATTTCGCCCCACACTGTTTAAGTCTTTATTTTATAAGGCGAAGACCACCACTAACATGGGTGGGGCAGCCACTCACGCTAGCACAGCAGTTGGGTTGGATGGAACTGAGTGCCTTTTTGCTGAACAGGTTTCAGAGCAGGAGGTTATTACCTCCCCCAAACTTTTTCTTGACCTTGTTCAAAAGCAGTGGGCTCAGCCGACTGCGGTTACCCCACCTAGCAATGGGGATAAGAAATTGTACACTTCCACTCCAGAATTAGAGGGTATTCTGCAATTTCCTATAGTGGATCCACCTGTTGCCACCCTAGCCTCACCAGCTTTGATCCCATCCCGACGCCTGGGCCCTTCAGATCGTGAGGCTGGGCCTCACTCTAGAATTTCTCTCCATCCCTCTGAGGCGGTTCATCAAGTGTCCTGTACCCAGGTGTCAGGTGAAAAGGCGTCTAATGGACACCGAAATACAACACCTTCTTTTCATCAACGCCATAGAGCAGGTTCCAAAGGGACAGGAAGGGCTAGGCTTTTATTCCATCTCATTCCTAGTATTCAAGAGCTCAGGGGGATGGCGGGCCATCCTAGATTTGAAAAGGCTCAATCTGTACATCAAGTATCAAAGGTTCAAGATGCAATCTTCAAAAGCATCTTGGCATCCATCCACCAGGACGACATGATGACATCAGTCGACATCAAGGAGGCGTACCTCCACGTGCCCATCCATCCAGCACACCGGAGGTTTCTACGCTTTCATTTTGCTGGATGCCATTTCCAGTACCGGGCCTTGCCCTTCGGCCTGTCATCTGCCCCTCGAACATTTACCAAGCTCCTGGCGGTCATAGCGGCATCGCTTCGCTCAGTTCCCATACAGGTGAATTGTTACCTAGATGACATATTGATCTTGTCCCCATCACGGAACCAGGCCCTCCAGGATCTGCATTTTACAATAGACACATTTACAGAAACACGGATTCGTTCTGAACCTTCCCAAGAACCACCTGCAGCCGACCATGTCATTGCTCCACCTGGGGACCATCATCAATTCCATGACATGCGAGGTGTCTCTGTCTCAGGAAAGACGACAGAGCATCCAGCACCTGGTGAGTCAAGTATTATCTCAGAGACTCTTCCCACTGGCAACACTCTCCCAACTGCTCGGGAAAATGATTTCCTGTATAGACATTGTCCCTTGGGCCCAGTTCCATGCTCGCCCACTTCAATGGTTCTTGCTTCCCTTCCAGAGGGCCCACACCAGCCACTCTCAGATCAAGGTTCGGCTCCCGCCCAAACCACTCAGGTTCCTCTGGTGGTGGACATCCTCCAAACTTCTCAAGGGGAGTCCATTCAAGGAACAGGACCGCATGCAAATTACAACAGATGCCAGCCTCTTTGGGTGGGGGGCCCATGCCCTGGACTGAGTCACACAGGACTGCTGGTCGGATCAAGAGCTGAGAAACAGCATCAATTGGCTGGAGTTCCGAGCCATCCGTCTAGCCCTTCAAGAATTCCGGGACGTTGTATCAAACAAACACATAATGGTCCTGACCGACAATGTGGCCTGCAAGGCCCATATCAACCGCCAAGGGGGCACCCACTCCAGGCTCCTGATGTTGGAGGCGGAGAAACTACATCACTGGGCGGAGAGCAGACTGTTGTCGATTCGGACAGAGCACATCTTGGGCGTTTCCAACACACAGGCAGACTGGCTGAGCATGGCCACCGTGGACCAAGCAGAGTGGCGTCTCCACCCCGCCCTCTTCCAGGAGCTCTCTCGCTGGTTCGGCCAACCCGAGGTGGACCTGTTTGCACAGCCTCACAACTCGCAACTACCACGATTCTACACCAGGTACCAGACACCCGGGGCGGAGGGCATGGATGCCCTCCGCAGTCCGTGGCTGGCAGCCTTCTTTACGTCTTCCCACCTCTCCCGATCCTCCCGCTGGTCATTCAAAAGATACTGACGGAGCAGGCGGAAGTCCTATTGGTTGCCCCAATGTGGTCCCGGCGCCCCTGGTACAGAGACCTCGTGCATCTCTCGGTCTCATGCCCATGGAGGATCCCAGACAACCAGATCCAGCTCACCCAGGGAGCTCTCATCCACCCGAACCCCCAGCTGCTGCAGTTGCCGTGTGGCACGTGAGCATGCTATTCTAACCGGACTGCACTACTCAAGTAAGGTAATTGAAACTATTCAAGCGGCCCGTCGTCCTTCCACGACTCGTATATATGAGGCCACCTGGCAGGCCTTCTGCAGGTGGTGCCGCCACACCGGTACTGACCCTATCAAGGCCTCGGTGCCCCAAGTATTGGACTTTTTGCAGACGGGACTTGACAAGGGCTTAGCATCCAACACACTTCGCCGGCAGGTCGCAGCCTTGTCCACGTGATTGGGGGCGGCCATGGCCATCCATTGTCTCAACACTCACGGGTCAAATCTTTTCTAAAGGGTGCAGCTAACCTCAGACTGTGCACCGTTACCCTACTTGGGACGACTCTGGTCCTCAGGGCTCTCACAACTTCTCCATTTGAGCCCATTCAATCCATCAGCCACAGTTACTAACGCTTAAGACAGTGTTTTTGGTAGGTATCACATCGGCCAGGAGGGTGTCTGAGCTGGCGGTGCTTTCAGTTCGCGTGGACCTCTGCATATTTCATCCCAACAGAGTCGTCCTTCGCTTGGACCCAGCCTTCCTTCCAAAGATTAACACCTTGTTCCACAGGGCTCTGGAGCTCATCCTCCCAGATTTCTGCCCCCGCCCTTCCCATCCGCAGGAACGCCAGTGGCATCACCTGGATGTGCGCAGGACTCTTCGGCGCTATGTGAAGCGCACTGCATCATTCAGAAGGTCGGAGGCACTTTTTGTATCCTTCCAGTCATCATCCATGGGACAGAAAGTGTCTTCCCACACTATTGGCCGATGGCTTAAGGCATGCATTGCTCTTGCTTATGACTGCCATTCCCGATCGGTCCCTAGGAGCATCACTCCTCATTCTACCAGGAGTGCGGCCACCACAGCAGCCTGGGCTACGCAAGCCTCAGTGGAGGAGATTTGCAGAGTGGCCACCTGGTCGTCGCCATCACCCTTTATTAGACATTACAAGGTTGACATGTATGCCTCAGCTGAGGCCTCCTTTGGGCAGCGAGTGTTGCAGAGGGTGCTCTCTTCTCCGGAGGGTCATGACCTCCCTAGCTCCCGCCCTGGAACTTAATTGCTTTGGCATGTCCCATACTTGGATTCTCCAAGCAGTGCACAGGAGAACGACCGTTGACTTACCTGAACGGTCATTCTATGTGCGCTGCGAGGGGAATCCAAACCCGCCCGCAGTTTCAGCTGGTCCGGGCATTCTCAATGATTCTGACTCGTTGACTTGACTTATTCTGACTCAATGACTTGATTTTCTCTGGACATGACTTATTGATACCTCTCATTGGCTACGGCTATCAGTGACATTGTTACACATCTTCTATTGGCTGACCTTTGTACAAAACTGACCCATCCAGTCAGAGGAGGCGTGGTCAACAATTACGTAACTCAGTCTCTAGGCTAATGGACAAAGTTAACCCATGCTTGGATTCCCCTCACAGCGCAGATAGAAGGACCGTTCAGGTAAGTCAATGGTCGCTTCATTCGAAACTGACCAACTCCAGTGACAATTATGCTGCCCTACCTATAGAAATAGCACAGCGATCAATGGCTACAACTGAATCACCGTGGACTTTGCAGATGTTGGAATGAAGCTCCAGCCTCTGGGAGCTTGATTGGTACACTCATCCATTTTTCTAATCAACACAAGAGGACCTGAAGAGGAAAGGATTCTACTGGGCTGCACCTTATATCATATACCATAGGTACTTTCTTTCAAAAGGCAACTGGACTTCCTTGGTTTTTTCTTTGAAAACATTTCACTTCTCATTCAAGAAGCTTCTTCAGTTCTCACTGAATGATGGGGAATGGAAGGATTTATACTCTCTGCAACCATCTGGTAGTTAGCACTCTGAAGGTCAATCTTACAGCTCCACTCCTTCAGAGTGTAACAGCCAGATTGTCTGCTGAGGAACTTACAGTGTCCTTCCATTCCCCACCATTCAGCCGAGCTGAAGAAGCTTCTGAAAAGATCCTGTGGGGCAACCATGACCTGGATCATTGAGAACGTTCATAGACACTTATGTATTTGTGACAGATGGTCACATAAATCAGTCTGATAAGCTGGAAGCTAACAATTCTCAGGCTGACAGAATTGTTTCCATCTTCCAAGGCCAGGAAGACACCAGCTAAATGTTTCTTAGTTTGAAAGAACAAGACGTAGATCTCTGGAATTTAAATCTGAGGCTGACATTTAGAGAGAGCTCGAGTCCTGGATTCTGCCTAAGACCCTTCCAATAGTTAAGACTTTTTTGTCAGAAATAAAACAATTTATCTAATTGCATTGAGTCTATGGAGCTTTTGCTATATACCGATTCAAGATATAGCAGACCGCAAATTCATTAGGAGATGAAAATTCCACAGGTGAATAAATACCTGATCCTTCTAAGCAGTTGTTGGTTGGGTTTGTGACGTCTGTTTCCTGACACAGGCTACCTACACATAGGCAGCTGCTGAGCCTTTTAAGAAGATAGCTCAATCTTCAAAACAGAGAAAGGCTATAAAAGTCAAGCTCTTCAGTTAGTAATTTCCATGGGATAAACACTGGGAAAGCCACGTCCACTCTCAGCCCGAGCTCCCTCACAGGCTTATTGTTATGGGGGGAAATATATATATAAACCCCAAAGGAAAGACTGCATGTCTACTACCTTCAGCCAGGAATTGAGTAACACAACTTTTTTTTAATTGCAGCAGCCTTTTGAATTAATGTTATGTTTCAAGTGCAACATTTGTGTGTGTGTCATGAGAAAGACCTCATGACACTCTTCTTTATTTCCGCCCCTTGATAAATCAAAGGTGAATATTGTTGACCACTAATTTAAACCATTTTTGTTTGCCAACAGTTAAGCAATCAGAAGTTAAGACAATGTCTATTTATTTCAGGAGTGATTTAATTCATAAATTCAGCATGTTGTTATGACAACCACCCATCTTGAGGAAAGCTTTTCTAGCATTCAATTGGAATCTGAGTTCCTGCAACTGAAATCCTTGTTTTCCTGCTTCTCTAGAATGAGAGGAGAACAAATTGTTACCACCTGATTCCTTTCAAAGTGTGAAAATTCAGATGTTTGACAGCTGACTCATATTTATGATGGTTGCTGTGTCCTGGGGTCATGTGATCCCCTTTTATGACCTTCTGACAAGCACAAGCAAGGGGGAAGCCTGATTCCCTTAACAACATCTTCCTAACCTAACAATTGCCGTGATTCATTTTTCACAACAAATATGGCAAGAAAGGTGGTTAAATGGGGCAAAATTCCTTTAACATACGTCTCAATCAGCCACAGAAAGTTTGGGCTCAATTATGGTCATAAGTTGAGGACTACCTGTATCTGCTGCTGCTGCTGCTAGATCCAGAACTTTATGAGCATGGCTTTCTAGTTGTTTGCAATAAATCTATTTACAATTTAGATTTACAATAAATAAATAAATTGTAAATAGAGGTATTGTTTTCAGGATAGAAATGTTGGATCCTGCTACTTTATGCTTGTCTAGGAGTATGGGTTGTGTAAGCCTGGAGCAGCGTGAACGAGGGCAGGGATATTTTCTGCTCCTGAGGCTGGGTCTCTCTCTTTTGTCCCATCAGAGCTGGCAGCAGTGGAACAGATCAACGTGGCCATCCGTAATGGCCTTTCTGAGAAAACCGTTATGGAGTTGATGAATCCCGAGGCCCAGCTGCCTCCAGTTTATCCTTTTGCTGCTGAGTTGTACCAGAAAGAACTGGCCACCCTGCAACAACAGAGTCCAGATGTAAGTAAATGGCTCATGCTCTGAAGTTCCCCCGTCAACTGTCCTTAAATGCATAGAACAACCATTGTACATTCTTGGATAGAGGAGGTGCATGTTTTCATCCAAGTTTATCTGGTGTGACCACATGATGAGAAGCCATCCTGAATGCAGTTCTAAGTTGCAATAATAAATAGGTGTTCCCAACAGTCCTGGGAAAGAAACTGTTCCATTAGTCATCTGTCCAACGGACTCCTTCATTCTCTGGAGTTGGTTCATAGATGGAGTTTTAATTGAAGAAGTTTCTGGGAAAACCAGCCTGCATTTGGCTTTGTTTGCCTCGAAGATTTATTTGTCCACAACACATGGGCCTGTTGCAAAATGCTTGAGATTTTCTCAGTTTCTTTACTCCTTGTGTCACCCAGCAGCCTATCTTGTGAATTTCTTTCAGAATATTGCTTTCCCCTCAATTTTTAGAGGGAAATGTTTTTAAAACATGAGGATTAGTCACTGGCATTAGTCAAAGATTCTTCTTTTTTCTTCCAAAATGAGGGTTCAAGGGTTTGGCTTTCTCTGGTGTTCACTCTCCATCTGGGCTGCCTGCAGAGATGATCTTTGAGTTTTTTTTTAATCTGGAGCTCATATTAGGCAGGAAGGTTGGGATGGCAGATGGGGAGCCATCGCTACATTTGGTAGTGGACTTCCTGCCTCGGGTCAAAAGCTTTTACTGGTAAGCTCCTGAAAGGGGTGAAGGTTCAGAGAAATCCTCCCTGCAGAAAGGTGAGACATCTTAAGGCTGAGGATACTTTGGCAGCAACACTTTAGCCATTTAATAAGCAGATAGAAAAAAGAAGCCTCGGTGGTTGGCTGCCTGTATTTCCAGGGACTCCTGCAAAAGTCTCTTCCTGGGACTTTGAGATGTGGTCAACCAGGGAGCAGTAGTTGGCCTGCTGGAGACACACCAGAGGTGGGTTGCTGCCGGTTCGGCCGAACTGGTAGTGGAATTCAGGCCTGGGTTGCAGAACCAGCAGCGACCCAGTCCTGCCACGCCCCCAAAGCGGTTCCCTCACTGCTGCTTGGCCGCCACCATTTTGGATTTTAGTGACGTTGTTGTTCTGCATGTGGGCAGAACAATTTACATTGAAATGTGCACGCATGCACATTGCACGCAGGTTACGAACTGGCAGTAACACCAGCAGCAACCCACCCCTGAGACACACCTTCCCCCTTTGCTCAATGGGGCCAGAATCGCTGGGTGGGGGGAGAGGCTTCAACATCCCTTCCCAGTAATTGAATGTTTTGCCTTCGCCCTCCTCCCACCTCTTTCACCCTCACTGCCACTGTTGGAAGCTGCAAAGCCCCAAAGCCTGCAGACTCCCCAGAGCAAGCATGGGCAAGCATTGCTCTTACAATATCTTGACCACTGTTCCCTCTAAGGTGCGCGGGTGAGCAGCCGCGCATGTGGCAACAAAACACCGCGCAGCAGTTTCCAACTGCCGCCCAGTGGTTTTTGTGAGACGCTTTCCACGATAATAGGAGGGGAGAGCCAGCCTGGAGACAGCAATCACGGCAGGAAGTAGCTGTGAGAAGGGGTGCGGGGGTTGGGAGAAGGCATGCGACCAGCTCCCGGTTCCACCACAAATGCGCGAATGACAAAAGTGCGCC